AGCCGGAGCCCCGGTTACCCGTTAGGTTCTTCGCGAGAATGTTAAGATGTAAGATGTTATGACATATTATGAGATATTGAATGTGACTGTTTTGTTTTATATTTAGTAGCAAACGCAATTGTTGAACAATAAAGTCAAAGTCAAAATCATTTATTTCAATTAGACCAACAAAGCAATTTTGACCGTCAAATATTATATTAATTGAAGATATTTAAATATTTAAAAAAAGTGTCAGTTTGTCGGTCAGTCCTCTTGTGAAGCTATTTGTTCGTTCCAAAGTGTAGATTCCTATGGAGAAGAACGAGTAAGAAACTCCATAGGTTAATTTTCATCCATAGGTTAAGTTAATCTTTTCCAATCAGGTTCACAATACAATATTTTTGGTTACATAGTTTCGTTGGTTTAATTATGTGAGAACAATGTAAAACCAATATTCAGTCGAGGATAAAAAAAATGAAAATAACCTTGAGGATAACAAATTTAATACAGTCTGGAGCTGGCCAGTGCCAGTTGACAGCGCCAGTTCACGAACATGATACCTACGTACACCAGCAATAACATCGAATATCGAAATACGGTACGTTAATTAAAATTAGTCTTTGAAATATATGTATGTACAATATTGTACACTCATCCTTCGCCTTCGGAATACACTGAACTAACACTAATGCACAAATAAGATAGGTCTCTTTTGATTGGCTCTCTCTTTAAACCTCAAATTCATTTGGAAAGTCAGAAACTAGTTCCTGCAAAGCTGAGGCAGCCTGCCATTCTATACTAATATTATAAAGCTGAAGAGTTTGTTTTGTTTGTTTGTTTGTTTATTTGTTTGAACGCGCTAATCTCCGAAACTACTGCTCTGATTTGAAAAATTCTTTCTGTGTTAAATAGCCCATTTATAGAGAAAGAAATAAATTATCACGCTACGATTAATAGGCGCTGAGCAGAGCGAGTGAAACCGCGCGGAAGTAGCTAGTGATTGATAAATCTCAGGACTAACACGTGATTCGTCATTGTTTTTGGATATTCCCTGAGGTACACCATTATTCCCGGAGATTGGCAATTGATTGGTCTTGCTCCTATTTCAATAGGCCATGACCGACTGAAAACGGTGGTTTGTATTTGATTTATTGGTTCACCAACAATAGGGATGATGACAGGGTATGGAAATCTAATTAGTCCGTCAGTTAGGTAATGAAAAAATATTAGACTTTTTTACAACAGTGTTTTTTTACTTTGTTGTATAATAAAATGATTCTTAGATATAACGAATCAAAGTTCAGGAGTGGGGGCTAAAACGTCATTTCTACGTATAAAATGTACATAGAAGTGATGTCACATTTCAATTCAATATATAGTAGAAAGTATTCGTTACTTTAAAAATATAAAACATACGTATGAAATGTTTTAAACTACCAGACGGACATTAAAATAAAAATTAGTCATCATATTGTACACGTCGCGTAGAACCTAACGGGTTACCGATGCTCCGGCTCGACGTGCAGAAGGAACGAGGTGGTTTTTAGTCAGTAAGAGTCTGACACTCCCTTCCGTCTCACCCAGGCGGGAGCAGTCATTCGATGATTTTCCCCAGTTAAAAAACCCTATTGTACACACTAGTTCTAATTTAATGGTTACCTACGTGCAACAGATACATACCTACTTTAGTGTTACAATCACTTAAGAGTAAACATCACATGCATAAGAAGGTTGTTCAAGAAAAACAAAAAAAAGAAAAGTAAACAACTTAAAATTAACAAATAACAACTTAAATTAATTTGAGATTAATAATTTTAAATAATTTCAAATGAAACCCATAAAGCAACTCTTAGATTATTTAAATATCACTGAAAAACGTTGAAGAAAAACATTGTGAGGAACTGGACTTATAATTTCTAATTATAAGTTTGAAATAGCTAACCCGCAATGAGCAAGTGTAGTGATTTATGCTGAAACATTCTCCGTGTGAGAAGAGGCAGGTTGAGTTACAGGCTGTTGACTAAAACAATTGAACTAGAACAAAAAGGTGTCATGTGACAGTAACCCATTGCGTCAACAAGGGAATTAATGGGTCATCTTTTATAGGTTCACCCCTGTCTAACCTCTCTGGTGAATAAAGCATGCAGTTATTATGAGCTATATGTAATCAATAACTCTCGAGTTCAGTAAGCAAAAATTGAATGTTTTGATTGTATGTATTTTTATTTATTCAGTAGAACACGTTGGTTATTTTTGCGATGGCATTTATTTCACTCGCTGTTGTTATTTGTACATTTGGGTCCATATGTCAAATGTGTTTTATTTTATGTATGACTATTTGTAGTAGATTAGAGCTGCATGTTTCGACAACGAATTCAAAATCCATCCGTGTGGTCATTGACGGCTGCTCATCCAATCCACTTGGTATTAATGCCGGGGTTCCTCAGGGGTCAGTACTCTCAGCAACACTTTTTCTGTTGCACATTAATGACCTGCTCCAGCCCGGTATCTTTGGGTACGCAGATGACAGCACCGTTGTTGAGAGGTATGTGTCCGATGCGCGAACCAGTGCAACTCAAATCCAGTCTCTGAGAGAATCTATGGTAAATCGTCTGAACCTGTCCTTGCAGGCGGTCTCCGATTGGGGTGACGCCAATCTGGTCAGGTTCAATGCCAGCAAAACCCAGGCGTGTCTGTTTTCCGCTAAACGGAGTCGGTTCCCACTGACTCCTACTTTCCGGGGTGTGTCCGTTCCGATGGGTGACCGTCTCGAGCTTCTCGGCGTAACTCTGAAGCCCACTCTCAATTTTGGCTCGTATATCGAGACAAAGGCGCAACTGGCTGGTAGAAAGTTGAGTGTCCTGTCGAAGGTGAGACGGTACTTCACGCCGGAGCAGTTGCTCACTCTTTACCAAACACAAGTTCGGTCTTGTATGGAGTACTGCTCCCATCTTTGGGATGGCTCGGCGAAATACCAGTTGGAAGCCCTCGAATCCATCGAGAGGCGTGCCAAGAAGCTCATCAATAACGATTCGCTTGTGGAGGCTCGGCTACAAAGCCTCGAACACAGGCGCAAAATCGCAAGCCTTTCGGTCTTCTATCGGATACATTTCGGTGAGTGTGCGTGGGAATTGCACAAACTTATTCCCCCTAGTCCATTTCACCACCGTACCACCAGGCGAACGGCGGGACGCCACCCTTATATGGTGGACATTCCACCCATTCGAACGAAGCGTTTCGCGTCAAGCTTCCTCATGCGAACCGCTAAGGAATGGAATTCTTTGCCAGAGGCTGTGTTTCCCGCCAAATATGACTTGGGTGTCTTCAAGTCCCGAGTGAACAGGTTGCTCATAGGTAGGCGTGCTCCATCGTCGGCCACATCATCGCTTACCATCAGGCGAGATGGTGGTCAAACGTCGACCTATAAAGTATAAAAAAAAAAAAAAAAAAAAAAAAAAACCGAGAAAATTGGCGGGAATGCGGAGCGTCTTCGAACACGCTCACTCACTTAACGTTTCGGCGGCGACTGTTGGCGCGCGCGCGGCCCGCTCGAGCGAGACGTGGGCGTGGTGGGCTTCGAATTTTGAATTTTGGCGCGAACGCGAATTCACAACGTTACCACCATTTTTCTTATCGCGCTACAAATGAGGTTTTTAAGAACATAAGAGTTGCCTACACTATTATTATGTAGGTTATAGCTGTTGGTTTACATAAATATATTATTTCAGTTTTAAAAGTATGGTTGGTATGGTCGGTGAGTGGTAAGTAGGTACTTAGTCAGTATAATAGTCGAACTCAGGTCGGATGGCAAGTATAGTATGAATTTTGAAATTTTGTCTAAGGGTATGGACTTTTGACTTTGACTTACTTGACATAAATCTTAAGTCCACTAAAATTCGGGAGAAAATGAGTGTTTAGCCTAAAGGAGCGGAGGCGGAGGGCTACCACAGAGGTCATCATCGTCATAATACCGCTGTACAATATAACACCCACTTTTCACTATTTATGTTATGAGTCCCGTGTAATAGGTGGTGAGCCTATTGCCATATTCCGAGCACAGTTCCGTGCTACTACAGAGAATTAAAAAAAACCTAGTATTACTTTGCCTGACCCGGGAATCGAACCCAAGACCCCTTGCCCGGCAGTCGCGCTTGCGACCACTCGGCCAACGAGCCAGGACCACAGAGGTATCTCTTCCCAATTACTCTTATGTAAAATAACATCACATGAATAAGTGTTATCATCATCATCATCATTAGTCCTCCACGTTGAACGACAACTCGCACTTAAGTGATTTTGAAAACCACTACCATTAAGACGGTACTTGTTCACCACACAAGCATGCCAATAAAATTCAGACCATAGAAATATTATTATATCTATGATTCAGACATTAACTCGTCGAGTACCGGTTTTGTAGACACAATTATAGAACAATAGGTTGCGGTCACCGGTGACCGCTTGGTGTTTGACAGTTTAACTTCGAGCAGAATCTAGTATTTATTCCTGAACTTCCATTTAGCAGTAATATTGCATTCGAACTATCATTACTTATTCACGTCATATCCACAGAACTGTTCGTGATTGAATATTAAAATCGTTCAGATCGCAGGGAAACTAGCGAACGAGTCGTCCGATTTTATTGCTAGCCCCAAATATAAAAAAAAGTAAAACGACGTTTAAATGGTTGAACATTTTCCGTTTGGTTGTTTGATCTTCTTTAATACCTGCATATTTTATTACGTTTGATTAACTAATAAGCAACCAGTACTCTGATATATGTAGTTGAGGTTTGGGAAAGCGTCGAATAAAAGACAGAAGTATGATTTTTAATTTTTCATTTTACATTTTCTTTCTTCAAAATATTGATGTCTACATGGTGGGTTTTATTACATTGATACATATATAAGTATACAATACATATAATGTCATAAGTACAAATGCTATTTACCAGTTTTGATGCACATTTAAATACTAAATAATTTCATATTGTTTTGATAATGAGGACGCTGATATTAATATTTGATTGTAGATTAAACTCCATGCAGGCATTGCAACAACAAACAGTGAAATACAATTTTAGCATTCAATTAACGCGCAGAGTAATTAATTTTCATCAAAACATTTCACAATTCTGATTCAAAACATTCATTGTCTTCCCCCTTTTTCTGTTTTTTCTTTTCCAAAAACGGTAAAGTCCAAAGCTTTTGATTCTTAGCTAATTTTTCTGCATCATCGAAAGTATGTGGCATGTCTTTTCTTGCTGTTTCTGGCAACCCCAAGGCAACCAGTGCACCTAATCCAGCCACAGAACCCACCACTATTAATGGTAGCCAGTATACGTATTCTTTCAAGTAAACAATGTATGGAGACAGAACTGTGGCTACATAACCACAAATATGTACTATTGATACTCCTGATCCTCTCACAGACGTTGGCAATAGCTCAGCAGCCCACTGCATGGCAGCACTGTATGACATGTTCACAGCAAATCTCGCGACAACAGCAAATATCACCGACTGTACTCCACTAGCAAATACAGTTAGTATGCAGAATATACAGCTAACAATCATCACGATAATAGTCAGCCATCTTCTTCCCAAACAATCCATTACAAACGCTACGATAATCATTGAAGGGCACTCAGTAAAGGACACTAATGAGAAAGACATAAAAAAGTCAAAATCTAATTGACCAATACTTCTCACCAGCCCATCGAACACAATAGTACAGCACATGAATTCAATACAAACTAATAAAAACATTTTTCTCATCACCGGTCTCTTCAGAATTTCCAAACAACTCTCTGATTGTTCTTCCTTCGCATTTGTGGCCGATAGTTTAAATTGTTCAATCAGTTTAGGTGGTATTTCCTTCTTATTGATCCGACCGATTACCAGAATTTTATTCACCGCCTCATCAATACGACCTTTTGACAGCAACCACCTCGGGCTCTCAGGTAAGTACAAAGGTGTTAATAGAGCTAATGCTAAAGGTAGACTAGTGACTAGACCAATTGTCTTCCAGTGACCGCAAGCAAGGATTATCCATGGGAATATGGTCACTATTAGAGAGTAAAATATGGCAAACGACAGGTTTGCCAATATAGTTCTATATTTAGGGGCAACGTATTCTATAATCAGTAGGTACGCCATAATCATGCAATTGTCATAAGCCATACCCATAACTAATCTTGCAGCAGAAAACTGAATCAAGTTTTGGGCGAAAATACTCGCAACGCCTCCTGCACAGCCCAGTAAATTACTAATTACTGCAGCTGGCACTCTTCCGAAACGATCAGCAACCCACCCAATAACGAATCCTCCTAATATAGACCCAACGAAGAATATTGATTGAGCCGTGGCTTGATAACTATTTTTGTCACAGACCCATTCAAAGTCGCTTGAAAGAGTAGGGTATGGTATTTCCGTTTTATTGAATTCCCATCCATGTTGACACGGTACTGTATTCCACGTTGGGTCAGGCGTTTGTCTTGTCGCTAATACTTCGGTCCAATTGACTGCATACATGTGACACTGAGAGTATCCAAATCTTGCATTCTCATCTTTGGGCACACCAAGGTTCCTACGTTGTATGGCAGTTAGGTTTTCTAATTCAGGGATTCTGCACCAATGGTTGGGAGAAACTTCTGTCATGAACATTTGAGAGAAGTAGACGAAGACTCCGTAAATGTAAAAGGGAAACGTTGAAATGAAGAGGAGTATTTGATATCGCCCACATTCACCAGCGGCTGTTATGAGGTCATCATAGTCAACAGTTTCATTTGTTTTGTCCAGTTTGTTTTCTATTTCTGGAATATTCTTTTTTGCAGCCATTTTTGTTTGTGTTTCTCTTTATGCGTCCTCTTCAACAAACTTTATTATACTGATTAAACAATTACTCAGTTCGTCTTTTATAATGTCGGTAACGTTATTGACAAAGATAGCATGCTAAATTTGTAATTGAAGTTTGTCAAAGGCTTTCTCAAATAAATATTGGTTATCTTTGACGCGATGGGTCTAATAATGTTACAATAGGGATTAGGTATTTTCCATATGATTTATATGGTGGGTATTTACGTCGTGTAACTTCAGTTACTTATAGCTTCTGTAAAAGGATAATCTAATTTTAGAATAGTTTTCTTATGTAAATATTCTAGTGAAGATGGTGTACAAGCTAAGACAGTCAATATTTAATAAAATACACGTTACGACACGACAGTCGGGAGAAAATTCCCTAAAGATGACTTAGTCAACATTTATCCATAACGCGAATATAATCCGTACAAACAATTTTCTTTCGTTCCTTTGAACTTAGTAATAAAATTTGTTTACATTTCGCCCTGATATGAAAACTGTTTTAAGAATTTCATCTGGTTTTATACGAAAAGTACTTATTGCTGTAATATTTTCGAGCTGAAATATTTAGATTCTTTATTTGATTCAAGTATTCGTAAAAGAGTTTTTTTTTAGAAGATTCTAAGTATCTAACATATTTGAATGTTGGTCATTATTACCTATTATGTAACTTTAAAAGTACAGTTATTGCATTATACTCGTATAATAAAAAGGATCAGTGCCGTTTAAATAAGAGTGTTCTGAAAGATTACGCCATATTGCCGTCTGCAAAAACCTCTGGGCTAGTAAATATTTAGAGGCTATTTATAGACATCACATTGTAGATTGCAATGACTTTATACTCCGTTATCGTAATGTCAATGAGTTTCATCTCTGTTATGTGTATTAAATTAAATATACAGAGTCATGGGGATTTTTCCCAAAAGAAAATAATTTTGTGGTTTTTTTGTATGACTAAAACTGTAATTAATGTTAGGCAAACATTTGATGACTAATATGTTGTCATCTGTTATGAAGCGATATGGTGATTTAATTTTAGTTTTATAGAGGTATTTTCAACTTTAGTTCTGTCGAATGTAAAGGACCAATAATTATTGTTATATAAAAATGCATTGGCCAATGGTCATAATATAATTATAATTGTACAATATAAGTATAATATTATAATAATTCGTCTGTTTTAGGACGAAAACATTCCTTTTTCATAACTTTTATTCAGGGTGTTCTGTTCAATAAATACATAGTAACGTAATATATACTGCAGGGGTTGATAGAGAAAAACTATCGCAGGATGATGTACAGTGGACTCCAACCTGTCAAGTAATATATTCATTACATTTTCGACTTTATGTAACAAGTATAAAGTTGAAGTTGTAATAGAGAAATTTGATACAAAATTATATAATTAACCTTCTGGGCACCGTACTGCTTATTTTAATACCAGCCGTTTACTTATCTATATAGGTTTACAGTTTTTAAAACTACTTTTAAAAACTGTAAACAGCATGCAGTCGAACTCAAATTCTCAATAGGTAGGTCTTCGACGTAAATTCCCAGCGTAAAGAACTTCTAAAACTAGAAGTCCAGACTTTAGCTAGCCATGTCCGAATAAATTTTTACTTGAAAACTTTTCTCAAGGGAAATTTACGTTCCGGTCGAAGATCGAAGTACTTCAATTGAACCCTGATATACAGGCTGTCATTGAATTTGTAAATGACATTTTAAACTAATTATCGTCATCGCTCAATGGACTGACGGCAGATGGGCCAGGAAAGTCCTTGAGTGGAGACGAAGCGTGGGCAGGCCTCCCGCTAGGTGGACCGACGACATCGCCAGAGTTGCGGGGAGCCAGTGGATGCAGGTGGCGAGTTGTCGTTCGACGTGGAGGACTAAAGGTAAGGCCTTGGTCCAGCAGTGGACGTCATTCGGCTGTTGATGATGATGATTTTAAAGTAAAGTTCTGGAAATAAAACTAATCGCCGTCACGATACTAACGATCAGTTTTTTGGTAAAACTTGTCCAAAAAGTGTCTGATTCCTACAGAAAAGAGCGAGCATCAGCAGCACCCAGTCAGTACTTATATTAATCTACTAGCTATCACCCGCGGCTTCGCTCGCGTCACAAAAGGATAAAAAGTAGCCTATGTGATATACAAAAACACACAGCGCCATCTATACCAATACTATTGTTTTCCCTCGTTAATATAAATTTTTTCCGGGATAAAAAGTACCCTATTATTTAATCCAGACTTCTAACTTCTTCTGCAAAAATTCAAAGCAATCTGATAGATGATAGTGATAATGATGGGATGGCAACACCTCAGTAAAAAATGTCGACTATGATCAAGAATTTAATTACCTACATCCTGTATCTATCCTGTGTTGGTTTTGCTGTATTTATCCTGTGTTGGCTTTGCTCCAATGTCATATTTATCAGTTCCATAAGTAAACGTTGTGTGAGTAACTCGTTGATTAAAGAGTTACGTTGTAACTCTTATTGAGAGGGAAGTTGCCAGGAGTCCATGCGAAATTAAAGACAAATATTTATTTTATCGTCAATTTATTTTATACGTACTTTCTAGTGTGTATTTGTGTAACTGTATGGTTGGTTTATTAAAGTGTTTTAAAGATGTATTCGATTTTTTTTATTAACTGTTTTCGATGGGCGACAATAACAGCCAATAAGTGGCCATTGCTGACCAAAGGCCTCTTCTCACCCGGAGAAGGTTTGAGCGTTCACTGCGCTCGCTCAATGTGGGTTGGTGAATTCGGTGGGTCTCAGTTTGATATTTTAGTTTGTTCTTTTAAAATTTGGAACACTGTGTTATAAGGTTTTTGGTAAAGTCAATTGACAAGTATTTCAAAACATTCAGTGGAGTGGCGTAAATTTCATATTGAACCCAATGTAATTAAAACAATTAATTAAACCACATAAGTAAGTAATAAAAGTAACAAAACAATTACACGAAGAAAGGAGGTGGTTTCTGTGTAGTTGCAAATTGCAGTCGAATTCTAGATATGAAATCGTCACAAAATTAACATTCCTGACATCATACGTGAACAATAAAATAAAATTCATATCTTCTTGTAGAAGTAAAATGTATTTTCTACAGAAACTTTTTTTCTCGTTTCATATTGTCACAAATGCGATTTAGAAACGTTTACGCGAGCACCTTATTTTGCGTCCCTGTGTCATAAAATTGAATTGAAGGAATAGTGTTGGTACGTCAGTGCGTGTTTAGAGTGGAAACGAGGTAGTATTTGAATGGATGAGGATCAAAGTATGAACGTGTTAACATGACGTGTTAAGGACGGGGAATCTTCTGTTAAATGTTTGCCTGTGTTGGTGTGGTTATTATTGTTAGATTTTGAGTCTTCGTTTTAGGCTTGGTAAATTAAGTATTTTCGAAGTACCGTAACGCCGGACGGCACCTAACGCCGGACACTTGGATTATCTCGACAACTGATAACAGAGACTTAAATAAAAGGCTTAATAATAATATTTTAGGTTCAGTAAAGTACTTTATGGAAGTTGATTATGGTCAGAAAAGCTTACATTGTCCGCACTTTTTTAGCTTAATTTTCTTATTCTTAGTAGATTTTTTCGATGCGTTATATAAATATGTAGGGTGAGCGTATCTCGCTTCCAAAATTAATAATTGATTAGACAGATATAACTGGAAAGGATGAAGCAAATATAGCTTTACCTAATATTAATTAATAAGCTCATTAAAACCGAAATATTGGAATTCAATCTTTACTACATTAGTATTTAGGTACATTATAGTTTAATTTGTTATTTCTAATTTCTAACTAGCAAGAAACGTATAAAATTAACAGAGTACTATTAAGTTATACTCGGTTCAACCTACGAGAAGCTATGAGACGTTCTTCTACCTGTAACTTCAAATGGATAGATTTACCGTCTCCCACGTAGAACGGTCTAAATATAGTACAGTCAAGATATAATTAGATATACAGAAGTTATGGTTTAGTTAGTATGGAAATTACATTTTAACGAATCACTGATCTAGAGAAGACTAGGTTTATCTCTGATTTTACCCACAGAAGTGGAGTTAAAATAAAAAAGTGTTTTGATTCATGTTATTGGCTTTACGTCATTGCGTTTGTTTCAATTTGATCAAATAGAATTCTAAATATATTTGAGTAAATTGGGATAAAAATCTATGAACCTATCGATGACACTTCAGCTATTTGGAATGGATAAACTCGTCGATTTCCATCATCATTGTAAATGTTACATTATAATTTAAGATGAAAAGTTCTACTTATGGTTTTCGTTGTATGTGGTAATTATCGAATATTTTCTCATAATAACCATTTCATTGTAATATTACGTCGATTACATATTTTATTTATTAAGTGTGGGAGAGCCATGTTTCAGCACGAATGCGCCGGCTCGACCGGAGTGATATCATGGCTTCATAGAAAACCGACATGAAGGTTACCGTGAAGGTTAGAGGTTACCGGAGGTCCAATTACCCCCCTCCTCCCCTTCTGCAATCCCTGAATTGCCAACGATCCTCAAACTCCTAATCCCCAAAAGGTCGGTAACGCACTTGTAACGTTTCTGGTGTTCCAGTGTTCATGCGCGCCGCCGATTACTTACCATGATCCGCCTGCTCGTTTACCGGCTTATGCCATAAAAACATATTGAAATGTAAAATATATATTATTATATATATACAATACATTATATACCTACCTGTACAATTGGTTCATCATATCAGTTCAACCGTATAATGCTAAAGCATCAAGCTCAAATTGAAACTGCAATCTTCATTTCCAAGGGAATTCGCTTCCATTATTACAGTTGCTCTCTCAAGCAACTTGAGAGCAGTAAATACAGACAGACAGACAGTACTTAGTTATTATGTGACTTAGTTGACAAGTAAACACCTGAACTTCTCCTAATTAGAGGGAGTCTCCTAGTCAGACTGCTAAATGTTAGAAACTTTTACAAGTTTGGATGTAACCTTAGGCTAGAGGTTTTGAGATCTTTTT